CACTATCTTGTGTATGCTTGATCGTATTTAACATAATTTGTAAATTGATTTTTGTCTTACAAAGAAGCTTATTGGATTATTGATTTTTTTTTTTTTTTGTCCTTTTAGGAATCTATTCGATGGTTAGAAGATGAAAAGGCTCTCCTAGAGATGACTGAAGAAGTAGACTATGATGTAGATTCATATGCCACACAACTTGAAGCTATTCTTGAGCAAAAAATAGACATTTTAACTGAGCTGCGGGGTAATTCTTTTTCCATTTTGGTGTTTGAAATTTGCTAGAGATTAGTGGGAGGCTTTCATATTGCAAGAGGACATCTGAAGTGAAAATTATTAGCACAATGTAGCACCCTCTTTCCAGAGGTATAAAGACAAACCAACCATTCTGGTCTTTCTAAAAACCATGGAGTATCGCTTCAAGTTCTCTGTAGTTATCTTTTTTTCCTTGAGTCTTTTGAGAAGACAAAGGCATCTTATATTTAGAGGGGAAATGTATTTTAACGAATTTGTAAATTTTGTATGTCCATTTTTTAGTTTGGTAGACTGATGCCTGTCAGTCTGTCCTTGGAGTAGATCTCTTCGGGGCGTCTTTCGATAGCCTGACTACATCTTCTTTCTGTGCCATCTTTTATAATGAAGGGGAAGGTGACCAAAAGGACTGTGCTCTACCCTACTCTTGAAGGGAAGGAAGCATGTGACTTACCTTCATGCTGCCTTTTGGCTTTTTAGTTATAGTATCTGTGTAGCTTCAGGTATGCATTTCTTTATGTGCTAATTTCTTAGATTGACAAATTGCTGGTTCTGTTTATATGTAAGTGGGCGTCTGTATGCATGTGTAAATGCAATGCAACACAACCCAGATTGAAATTCCTAGTTTTTGGAAGCAAATGAGCTGCTTAATTTTTTAAAGCAGGCCCTTTGTGAAGTTGATTATTTTGAGGTTTCCCCTCCCCAATGTATTTATTTAAATTAACAGATAAAAATGTATGTACTTATCGTGTTTAATGTGACATTTGAAGAATATACAGGTTGACTATGCTTTATCTGAAATGCTTGGAACCAGAAGTGTTTCAGGTTTCAATCTTTTTGGGGGGGGGCAGGGAAAATATTTGCATTATACCTAAAAGTTTTGAATTTTGGTTCATTTCAGATCAGATTTCTGGACTTAGGATGTTTAGCCTGTACACATATTGGAATGGTTGTGAAGTTGGTTATTTGAAATCATATTCTGTAAAGTCATCAATGACCGTTTCCCTAAAATTTACATTTCTCACGTTATTCACAAACCTTGATTAGAATTATGTTGATCATTTTTCTAGTCTGTACTAATTCACCGTCAGCTTTTCTGTATTCAGAAAACAAATCATAAAGCACTCTAGTATTTTTTTCATAATATATAGTATTCTACTTGACTTCCTTAATTTTATGATTTCATGTATATCAAGCATATCTAAAACTTTGAAGAAATTACTATCTAGATTTTTAGAAAATATAGTCCTTAGAAAAAGTTTGAGAGCTACTATATTAGGCATGAAATCCAGAAGGCTTTACTTTCATTTCTGAATTTCAGAAAAGTTAACTTTTTAAAAATCCTTGTACTTCTGATGGGGGGAAGGAAATTGAGATTCCAGTTAACTTCCTTTTTTTCTGAAGTCTATAGAGTAGGGTTTTGTAACCTTGGCACTATTAACATTTTGGGCCAGGCAATTCTTTGTTGAGAGGTGTTGTCTTGTGCATTGTACAGTGTTTATCAGCATCCTTGGTCTCCAGCCATGAGATGACAGTAGCACCACGCTAGTTGTGGCAGCAAAAAAAGTCTGTAGTCATTACCAGAAGTCCCCTGGGGGACAAAAATCACATCCAGTTGAGAACCACTATTATAGATGTCTCATCATCTTCACACCTGCTTGTAATCTGTCTGACAAATTACTAACCTATTTCTAGTTGTTACATGACTCTAGATCAGTACATTTTAGATGGTAGAACAGAATGTGTAAGAGCAAGAAATCGACTGTTTTGTCAACTCCCCTCAATGAGAAGAATATTTCTTTTTAAAAATTCAAATACCGTAATAAGAAAAATTGCATAGCTTTAAAAAGGTAAAATAGGAAAAGGCAGTGGAAAAGTTACTCATGTTGAAAGAAATGTCAGTTTGACAGCTTAAGAAAACTCAGTTTTCCTTTTTGACATACCTGAACATATTTTAAACATGTATGTAAAACCTGCCTACATTCCAGAAAGAATTCCAATAAATTAAAATTGAAAACTGTAAATTTGCCAAACAGAATAGAAACCTATTGGAAGATATAGGAAAATAGGTATTTGTAGGACTCCATAACAAAACTGTTGCTACAGTTGAGCATTGTGTTTAATTCCGAGTTTCTAGCCAAGAAAAGGAAAAATTCTGAGTTGTTATAAAATAACACAGTTGACTTTATGGAGCCCGTAAAGTTGTAAACTATTGCATGTAATAAATACTTACTCTTCCCTATTCTTTTTTTTTTCAAGATAAAGTGAAATCTTTTCGTGCAGCTCTACAAGAAGAGGAACAAGCCAGCAAGCAGATCAACCCGAAGAGACCCCGTGCCCTTTAAATCGGCATTAGCTGCTAAAGAATCCCCAGGACCCTCGCTACTGTAACATAACAATGGTTCAGCTGTAAGGGCCATTTGAAAGTTTGAAATTTTAAGTGTTTGTGGAAAATGTTTTGTCCTTCGCCTGAATGACATTTCAATTTTGTGAAACACTCCTTTGTCTACAAAATGCTTCTAGTCCAGGAGGCACAACCAATAATTGGGATTAGTGAAGCATTTTGTTTCATTTGCCCAAATAGTGATTTACTTTTGGAGATCCTTGTCAGTTTCATTTTCTATATGATGAAGTAAGATTGTGGACTGGATCCAGAGGTGGATAGTAGGGGGAAGCCACAGCTTTTCCTTTTAACTCAGTTCCATTTTCGTAGCAAGACTGAGAAGTTTAAATCCTTTGTGAGCATGCATACCTCATCCGTGATTGTACATACCTTGCCCACTCCTAGAGACAGCTGTGCTCACCTCTTCCTGCTTTGTGCCTTGACTAAGGCTATTGACCCTGAATTTCTGAAGCACAGCCAAGATAAATTACATTCCTTATTTGTCATTGTAAATTACCTTTGTGTGTACATTTTTACTGTATTTGAGACATTTTTTGTGTGTGATTAGTTAATTTTGCAGGATGTGCCATATCATTGAACGGAACTAAAGTCTGTGACAGTGGACATAGCTGCTGGACCATTCCATCTTACCTGTAAAGAAATCTGGAATTATGATTTTAAAACCATATAACATGTGATTATAATTTTCTTAGCATTTTCTTTGTAAAAGAACTAAAATATAAACTAGTTGGTGTATAATAAAAAGTAATGAAATTCTGAGAAGAGTTTTATCTTAGGCAAATCTATATATATATGCAGTGTGTGTGCCAGTGTGGTGTTAACAAGAATTATAGTGCAATTTGCTCCTTATCAATACAATTACTTAATTTGAAATGTTCTTTAGCACCCCAAAGTATACCTTTTCTATGTACTGTTAAAGGAAATTGGCTTCTCATGCATGAACAGTTACATGTACATTGAAAGTAGTCCATAATAGAAGTTAGTTTAAGCAAAGTGTAGACAGTACATAACTCCCTGGAAAAATAATTAAGCTGAAAAACAGTTGACTTTGCCTTAAAAGGCAGACATAATCCAAGCTCCATCCAGTACCAAATGTGCAATTTCACCATTATTTGGTGAGAGTCACCAGATTCTCACCAACAGATTGGTGTAGGGTATGCTACTTTTTAAACAGCAGCACTTGTTTTTACAGATTGCTACTCAAAGAAAACTGGCCGCTTTTCATGTATATATTTTGTTTAAAGATTTATATATTTCTCTAGGAGTTTTCCCTCAGTTCTCAGGATACAGTCCAGGAGCATACTAACCACAAAAAACCTCCCACGGATAACTTCTTTTGATTTATTCTAGGGAACTAATAGCTCATTCATATGAGCTAAAGGGAAGCTATGAATAGAGAATCACATGAGCCAGATTCTTTACTGTTCATAAAACCCAGGAAGGTAGTTGTGAAAGATCCCAACAACATGGTGAAAAAGCTCTGTACATGTGAAATCTAAAGCAAATGTAGTTTTTCACAATATGCTTATTAATAAATGAAATCTATGGAATGAGTTCTAGAGATAATTTCCTTCAATACAATCACCTTTGTTTGGAAGGGACTCAGGTTTTCTTGCAGTTGTAAGATATATTCTATTTGTGTTTATTTCAAAGGGAAGAAGAATGGAGCACTGTTACTATTGACCTTGCAGAGGCAGTTTAAAAAGACAGTTTTTGACTCTGCAACCTTCAAAGGGCAATAAGGACATGGGAATATGTTCATTTTAAAGCACAACAGATTAGCTTTATCTGCATTGGATAGGTATTATCTTTGGAAAGTCTCCTTATAGACAAATATACTGCCTTATACTATGATGGCTTCATTCTGATCAGGAGTTAAGGAATTTAAAAAATTAGTACAAGAAAAAGTCCTTCAGCTTTATAGGCAGGGAAAACTGAAGGCCAGAAAAGGGAGTAAAACTCAGCAGTTTATAGAGTTAGAGAGAAATAACCTAAGAAAGTTTAGTTAAATTTTAAAAATTTTCTGTAAGGATAGAGACAGTACAAGTGAACCTTGCAAAGTAGTTTTGTGAGATTTAAAAAAAAAAAATCTACCCTTAACTGTATTTAATTTTCATGGAACACAAGTGGCTTCATACATCTAAGTAACTAATTTTTTGTTCTGGATTAAACATTCGTTAGTACGTTCTCAGACTTGAAAGCTGATATCCGTATTAATAAGAAATTAAGACGCATTATTTTAATTATGTAGTAACATTTACTATATGACTTTGAAGCCAGATTTCAAAATCTGGCTTAACTTAATTGGAAACACTCCTTTTAAGTTAGGGATAAAGAAAGCCAAATATCAATGAAGATATTTTTATTAATTTTCTTACAAAAATAAAATAGCTACTATATTCTTTATTAAAGTATATTAACAACATTTAGTATTATACTAGTTTAAACATAGTAGCTGGTAAAACTTGTTTATGACATCTACTGATATTCTCAATCTGACAGTTTTAAAATAGCTTAAAACTAAGCATCATATATGAGAAAAGTACTGGAAGTTTTAATTATCTAGAAGTTATATGAATACTGGGGATCTGTACTTGTGGGAAAATAATTTTTTTTTTTGAAGTTGAAAGCAGAGAATTTAACTATAAAACCTGTTTCAATTTACAAAACCCTTTGTAATGTTGCTAAACCTGTGATTATCTCCCCAAGGCGAAAAAAACCATAATTTTACAGTTAATGTCATTCCAGTTGAGTTTCCTCACTTTACAACTAAGGAGCTGTGCCCAGAAATCACCTGGCACTGCATGGTGGCAAGCAGGCAGACAAGGGCTTGCCGTGACACTGATGTAGTCTGTGATGCTGTAGGACAGCTCAAGAGGCAGGCAGTAACAGAAGACATTGTGTAGGATGAACAGGGAAAAGAATGAGAGAAGCGAAAGGCAAAGACTTTAAGAAACGCTTGTTTTGCTGTACATGCGAGTAAAAAGAAACGTCTGGGGAATGTGAAGCACATGAAACGGGATGGGGAATATGTGACTAGTGAAGTGCGTCTGAATTTTTCTCTTATTGGAGGGACAGAGCTGGAGGCCCAGAGGCGGCCTCACAGCGCATAACACAGCAAATGCAAGAGTAACATCTTTATACAATAAACTGTTAGAAATGATAAGTGTAAAGTTGTGCGTATCTGCGGCTCTTGAACTTGAAGATTATTATAAGCAGACCGGACCTTCCACTGTTACATATTAAAAGCAAACCCAAACCAAAAGAACCTTGGTACTCAGAAATGGCCACCTTAAAACTCAGAGTAATAAAGGATGACAACAGTAGTATTAAACCAAAAATAGTCAGGCAAATGATTTTCCAGTAGAGCAAAAGCATAGTTCATCTTCTGAAATACTAAAAATAACGTCTTCTTCATCTTGGAAAATTCTTTCTTTCAAATACCTAGGAAAAATGAATACCTTCTGCATTGAATCCATGTAGCAATCTGAAAAAAGAAACCAAAGTGGAATGGTACTGAGAAGCTAAATTTGTAGCACATAATGGTATACAGTTCTGTACCATTAATTCTAAAACATGAACACATCAGCATACTTGTGCTGCTCACCTGTCCTTCCTAACACTAGTTACTGAAGAAACCTTACTATCAAACTAAATATATAAGACATTGGTTAAAACCCTGACATGCCTCTTTCATTATAACCTATATGTTATAATGAATTTGACTCAAATTAGCTTAGACTTCTGGCCTTCCAGTCCTATGAGCTCACTGGCACTTGTTCCATTTCAACATAGTATCTGAACAAGAAAGCTGGCATTAGAGGTTGAAGGCAGATGAATCTCTGAATTGTTATTGAGATGCAAATTAAATACTTAAACATTGTCTATGTAGATACCTATGTACTTAATAGATTCTACTTAACAAACTGCACAAACTTAGTACTTTGAGGAAATTTAGTGAGAATGAAGAAAAAGGTAAACTATTTCTATTTAGCCTTATTATTTTTAGGGTGGCCCATAGGAGCAGGTCCAGATAAATTAAAATGTCTGAAAAAGCAAAGTAGGTACTTATGCATAGTATTCAATGCCTAGGATTAACCTCTAAAAAGATTCAGTAGTACGGCTGACCAGCCTATAAAATATAAACTCCATTTGTCTTAGTCATATAAAACTTTCCAGCTTTGAAAAGTCAAACTGATGACTTTTACAACAATCTAGCCTCATTTTTCATTCAGCCTCTAGAATATGGAAGCTTTAAAAGTAAACTAGCTCAATAGGCAAGAACATGTTAATGATTAAAAACAATGAGTGCAGGGTAAAAATTACCTGTGTAATTCATTTAAGGCTTACTCTGTTTTCATGAGACTTGCTTATGACAAGGAAAACAAATTTTGGCCTAAATTTCCCAGATAATTACACTACCTGTGATGAGATGTAGAACTTGCCTCAGGCTACAACACAGCTCTGTTACTAAACGAAGAATAATTGTAACTGACATTATTTCATGCTTAAGATCTGTTTCACAATAGCTATTGAAAGAAATAAAAAATCAGATCCAGTTACATGTAGTACGAATTTTCTACCTTACAGGCTGTGTTGGAGGGACAAGCTATTCCAACTAAGACCATGCAGGAGAGTTGGGAGGGAACAGAAAGGGATGCACATGCACATCACAACACACATTAACACAGAGGCAATCTCGTGGCTCGGACTGTTCTTCACTGCTGTTCTTAAAGAAAACGTTCATTCTGCTGCAGCTAACTAGCCTCCGTCTTCTACACCAAATACTATTCCGTGCCATGGAAGTGCTATGCAATAATTCTCCCAGGTAGCACCTTATACCGCTTAAAAGCCTTTAAATCTCTAACCTGACAGTGTCACAGTAAAGGAATGTAAACACTTAGGAAAGCAAAAATGTAATTACCCGATGAAGTCATCTATGTCCATGGAACGGGCCCGTTTGTCACTAAAACCTGTGCTGGTTAGGATTTGCTGTATTTTATTTGCTATGCTGAAGTCTTCTGGTATTACCTATCAATACAAGATTCAGAATAAATGGACAACATATCTTTAATGAAGTCACTGATTCTTTCTTTTTTAGTTCAGTAAGTTATAAAATAGTCACCTTTAATATATTTCTCAATGATGCAAAGCCTGATTGTTCACGAGATGGATCTCAAATTAGTTAAGTGGCTGATCTTTACCACATAATAAATAGAATACCTTGAATGAGTAATCAGGCACATTAGCCTTTTTATTTAAAACTTTGAAACAGTTATCACTTTCAGACTTCACAATTATAAGATAATTAAAACTGTAAAGTACGTTTTATTTTATTTTTGAGTTGGAGTCTCACTCTGTCGCCCAGACTCGAGTGCAGTGGCACATTCACGGCCACCCCAGCATCAACCTGCTGGGCTCAGTGACAGTTGTTTATCCTTCCACCTCAGCCAATCCTTCCACCTCAGCCTTCCAAGTAGCTGGAACTATAGGCATGCGCTACCATGCCCAGCTGATTTTTGATTTATTGTAGAGAGATGAGGTCTCGCCAAGTTGCGCAGGCTGGTATCGAGCCAGTGGACTCAGGCAATCCACTCGCCTCGGCCTCCCAAAGTGCTGGGATTACAGGCTGAACCACCAATCCTTAAAGCAATTGTTATATTAGCCATTTCACACTTTATTCACATTTCTTATCCAAAGATTTTTTTCTAATCCAGCTTAATATTTTTCTACTTAAGCAGATTATGTAATGACTTTGCACACATGAAAAAATGGAGATAGAATTTTTTGAGTTGGAGTCTCACTCGGTCGCCCAGACTGGAGTGCAGTGGCCGCTTCCGGCCACCGCAGCCTCGCCTCCTGGGCTCCCGCGATCCTTCCGCCTCAGCCTTCCGAGTAGCCGGAACTACAAGCGTGTGCTACCACGCCCGGCTGATTTTTTGATTTATTGTAGAGATGAGGTCTCGCTGCCCAGGCAGGTCTCGAACCCACGGGCTCAGGCAATCCACTCACCTCAGCCTCCCAAAGGCGTGGGATTACAGGCTGAGCCACCGAGCCCAGCTGGAGATAGAATTATAAACACTGAACCGCATAGGATCTGAGTCATAAAAAATACAAAGGAAATCTATCTGGTTTGTTTAAACTGGAAGCTAAAAAGTTAGCAAATGTCATATACTCATTATATACGGCTGTGTATGTGCATGCATGCACATACTTATTTAATTAAAGTATTATACAAGCTGGGCATGGTGGCTCACACCTGAAATCCCAGCACTTTTGGAGACGGAGGCAAGAGGATTGTTTCGGTCCATGAGTTCAAGACCAGCTTAGGCAACACAGTGAGACCTCATCTCTGCAAAACATGTAAAAAAGCCAGGCACAGTGGCACGTGCTTGTAGTTCCAGCTATTTGGGAGACTGAGGTGCAAGGATGACTTGAGCCCAGAAGTTTGAGGATACAATAAGCCATGATAATGTCACTGCACTCCAGCCCAGGCAACAGAGTGAGACCGTAACTCAAAAAATAAAAAATAAATCAGCTTGCACTTTATTCTAATTATTTCAATCTCTGGATATTAAAAAAGGTTACCAAAATAGTAACTTTCCATTTGTAATTACTACATGAGCAATAAACATGAGTTGGTCACAATTCAGAGGACAGGAAACTAGTTATTTTCAGTGGAGCAGGCTGCACATATTTACAGTTTTGAGAGAATTATAACTGCTGTGTGGCAGATAAACAACTGTCACTAGAGAAAGGCACAGTAACACTGACTTGTCAAAATCCAAGTCTAAGTTGTGCTAGTTAGGCACACTATACTACACAATAATCTCAGAATGATCAAAATGAACATATTTTAAAAGACATCAACGAAACTAGAAATATTTTCTACTTACAGTACTATGGACTGAACAGTGAATTCTATAGTTTTTTTCTAACAGCTGTTGCACTGCACTTGATCTATCAACAAAAAGAAGTGATGTCACTATGATTCCAAAATCAGATTATACATAATTTCCTTTCACTTTAGATGAAATTAATTCTATTAAGTCCTAGGTGAAATTAAGGAATTTTGGGCAACCCCCTCAGGTTCCCTTCCCACTATGGGAGCTTTTCTGTCTTCTCAATAAATCCTGCTTTCTAAAAAAAAAAGAAAATTAAGGAATTTTTAAAAGTTCCAAATATTTAAACTTACGAAGCAAACACTAATTATACTTAAAAGATAAAGTCCTGATAAACATCTCTTAAATTGAGGTTTTAGACTCCCACAAAACAGCCCCTAAAAAATGTCTAAACCCTCTAAAACAGGCTCTTACCTGTCTTTGGCCCATACCCCAAATTGATGTGTTACATGTTTTCCAAGTTAATAAAATGGCACAAATCTTTCACAAGTGTAGAAGGGGTCCATAATCACCCCATTTTTCCAACAAAAAACTAGGCAGAGGCCAGGTGCAGTGGCTTACACCTATAATCCCAGCACTTTGGGAGGTTAAGGTGAGAGGATTGCCCAGGCCCACAGGTTCGAGACCTGCCTGGGCAATTTGGTGAGACCTCATCTCTACAATAAATCAAAAAATTAGCCAGGTGTGGTGGCACGCACCTGTAGTTCCAGCTACTGGAAGGCTGAGGTGGAAGGATCGCCTGAGCCCAGCAAGTCGAGGCTGCGGTGGCCTGGAGCGTGCCACTACTCTCAAGTCTGGGCTACAGAGTGAAACTCCAACTCAAAAAAACAAAAAAAAACTTGGCAGACGTATGGTCAAAAGTTTGGGAATTTTTCCTGCTTTGCAAAAAAACCTCATCTGACTCTCAGCTTCAGTAACTTTTTTTTTATTAAGTTCTCCTGCACCCCAAGTCTAAAGTTAGTGAATGAGGTGAAGTCTGTCTGGACATGGATAATCTTTATGCTTTAGGGTAGTTGTTTTAAAAAAAGGACCAGGGCTGGGCACAGTGACTTATGCCTGTAATCCCAGCACTTTGGGAGACCAAAGTGGACCGCCTGAGCCCCGAGTTCAAGACCAGCCTGGGCAACTTGGTGAGACCTCATCTCTACAATAAATAAAACAAATTAGCCAGGCGTGGTGGCACGCGCCTGTAGTTCCAGCTACTTGGAACTAAAGGATCGCCTGAGCCCAGCAGGCTGAGGCTGTGGTGGAGGGCCACTGCCCTCCAGCCTGGGCAACAGAGTGAGACTCCAAAACAAAAGAAAATTAAAGGACAGGGTGGGGAAGAAAAGGACCAGGGCTGGGCACAGTGGCTCATGCCTATAATCCCAGCACTTTGGGAGGCTGAGGGGAGAGGTTTGCCTAGCCCATGAGTTTAAGTCCAACCTGGGCAACTTGGTGAGACCTCATCTCTACAATAAAAAAAAAATTTAAAAAAAATTGCCGGGCATGGTGCCACCATGCCTGTAGTTCCAGCTACTTGGAAGGTTGAGGCAGGAGGATCACCTGGCCAGCAGGTCAATGCTATGGTGGCTGTGAGCGTGCCACTGCACTCCAGCCTGGGCAACAGAGTGAGACTCCAACTCAAAATAAATAAATAAATAAAAACAAAAATAAATTTTAAAAGGACCAAATTTTAGCATATCTGGAACACTGGTCCTTCATACCTTAGAAATTCGTAAAATACTTACTTAAATGCAGCAGACAATGTCTTGTTTTTCCTGACAAAGGTGATCCTTACTAAGCCATCCCATTCCTGAAATAGAAGATGGGTATTTTCATCAGATTACAAATTTCTTGTCTATGCCTGCTGGGTATTATTTTATCTTTTAATATATAAAACTGGCCGGACTCGGTGGCTCAGCCTGTAATCCCAGCACTTTGGGAGGCAGAGGCAAGTGGATTGCCAGAGCCCGCAGATGTGAGACCAGTCCAGGCAACTTGGTGAGACCTTGTCTCTACAATAAATCAAAAAAATCATCTGGGCGTGGTAGCACACGCCTGTAGTTCCTGCTACTTGGAAAGCTGAGGTGGAAGAATTGCCTAAGCCCAGCAGGTCAACACTGAAGTGGCCATGAGTGTGCCACTGCACTCACTCTGGTACACCTCACTGAATGTATTTTTTTTCAGTTTTTTAAAAATTAGAAAAGATAAGGCCAGGCACAGTGGCACATGCCTATGGTAGAACTACTCAGAATGCTAAGGTAGGAGGATTGCTTGAGCCCAGGAATTTGAGTCCAGCATGAGCGACAGTGAGACCTCATCTCAAAAAAGAAATAAAAAAGAAAAAATTATAAAATTGGACAAAGAACAACATGGCATTTATTGAAATCTTAACATCATTTTCAAAAATAAAATTCAAAGGGCCTTGGGTGGGGCCTCTTTGGAAAAAAAAATAAAAAATAAGATTCAAAACAAACATGATTTCAGATACAGCCTGCACAACACACCTAAACCTCCATGAGGGAGTTACTGACAAAACATTTTATCTGCCACCAGTTGACCAGACACAATCATCTTTTTACCTAATGTGACTGTAGGAAGGTTTTACATCAAATGGACTGGCTTCTCTTTAAATACCAAAAATAAGAATTATGATTAAAAGGTGGTGTAACCTACAATATTACTTTTTTGTAATTATAGGTGGCTCACGCCTATAATCCCAGTATCTGGGAGGCGAAGGCAAAAGGATTGCCTGAGCCCTGGGGTTGCCTGGGTGACATGGTGAGACCTCGTCTCTGCAATAAATTAAAAAAAAAAAAAAAATTAGCCAGGTGTGGTGGCATGCACCTTGCAGTTCCAGCTACTTGAAAGGTTGAGGCAGAAGGATCGCAGTGGCCATGAGCGTGCCACTGCACTCCAGCCCGGGCAACAGAGAATCTAACTCAAAAAAAGAAAAGAAAAAACTATTTTCACGTGGAATTTGGTGGCTCATGCCTGTAATCCCAGCACTTTGGGAAGTGGAGGCAAGAGGACTGGCTGAGTCCAGGGGTTCAAGACCAGCCTCTAAAATAGAGACCTCGTCTCTACAATAAATCAAAAAATGAGCCAGGCATGGTGGCATATGCCTGTAGTTCCAGCTACTTGGGAGACTGAGGCAGAAGGATCCCGAGCCCAGCAGGTCAAGGATGCGGGGGCGGTGAGCATGCCACTGCACTCCAGAGTGGGCAACAGAGTGAGACTCTGACTCAAAAAAAAAAGAAAAACCTATTTTCATTTTATCTTGTTCTCCAAGTTTTATTCATATAGATGTTTTCCACAGTATAATCTTAAGCAAGACTTAACTGCATTCTACTTTTACATTTTACAAACATTTTTCCATGCTTTTTTTTTGTAGTCTTCATAACTACCTTGCATCAAATTATTCCATCTACTCCATCATAGAGATGTTTCATAATTAATATTTTCCTGTTGGGATATTCAGGTTGACTCAATATTTTTTTGCTGCTATAGACAAATTATCTTCCAGCATGAACTTTATTTTCCTTTATTGAATGACATAGTATTTTTAACCTCACCTGAAAATTGATGGGTGGGGGCGGATTCTTAGGTTCTATCCTTACAACACTGGATTCCACCTTGGGCGGTGGTCTGAAGTTATTCTTTCCAACCTGTTAATCAGAAAATATTTAGGTAATACTCTCAAAGGCAACTTTTACTCAGTAATCAAAGATGCTATCCTCACAGAAGGCACAGCTAGATGCTCAAGGATGAGCTAAGCAATTAGTTCAATAATAAAAATCACTTACTTTCATTAGATGGTCCACACGTGCTAACAGCTGTGTATTAATTGAAAGTCTGCAGTATAATTTATCTCCAGGCTTTGCAACCAGTCGGAGAGCAAATTCTCTTTGAAACATAAGTACAGCACATCTGAAAAGCAGAAAGGAATAAGGAAAATGGCCGCTTTCAACTATACATGTGTTTTAACTGCAATGAATTTTCTTGGGAGAAAAACAGCAAAGCAGTATCAACTGGTTAGAAAGACTTTCAGCCTTAGTTTTCTGTTTTATAATGGCTGCATCCCTAACCCAACTATAAGCCCTCAATGATTAGATAAGAAGGCATTTCAGCCAGGCTCGGTGGCTCAGCCTGTAATCCCGCGCCTTTGGGAGGCTGAGGTGAGTGGAATGCCTGAGCCCGCGGGTTCGAGACCCGCCTGGGCAGCGAGACCTCGTCTCTACAGTAAATTAAAAAAAAAAAAAATCAGCCGGGCATGGTAGCGCATGCCTGTAATTCCGGCTACTGGGAAGGCTGAGGCGGAAGGATCGCCGGAGCCCAGCGGGTCAAGGCTGCGGTGGCCGGGAGTGGCCACTGCACTCCAGTCTGGGCGACAGAGTGAGACTCCAAACTCAAAAAAAAAAAAGAAGGCATTTCAAATCACTAGTCCATTGCCTTTTCTGCGAAAACAAAAATAAACAAAATGTACTCAGTAGAACTGTAGTATATTCACAGGGCAGTGCAAACCGTTAAGGAAGAGGTGAGGGTGGAGAGGCAGACTGTGATGTTCGGTGTCCCCTTTTATTCAGCAAGTAATGGGGACCTTCAAAGCTGCACTTTGATTTTCAAACTTTTGGCAATGAGTCACACAAAGAAATATATTTGATGTGGCCACCCAGGCCACAAATACCTATAGGTATCTGTGTTTATACTACATTTCAAAACAAAAGTTTCATGAAATTATAAACACCGAGACCACCTGCAGTGTCCTCTGATATATTCTATTCCTTGTCATTCAAAAAAAGGGATAGTCATGACTCACTACATTTATAACCACTAAGGGGTTTCTGATGTGCAGTTTGAAAGCCAATAGTAGACTTAACAAGGGGACTTCAAAGTTCATGGACAAATGGAATTAAGATAAAACTTTTAAATGTAAACTTTATTTCTCAACATAAGCATCATAAATTTCAAGACACTTTTGTAAGTGATGCTACCACACATTTACTCCATCTCTAAAGAACTGAAGATCCTGGAAATGTAACTGTTGTCAATGCACTCTTTTGTACATTAACTGAAGAATAATATGTGCCCTTTACAGATTTTTTTAAGATTAGGAAATAAAAAGAAGTCAGAATGAGCCAAATCAGAACTGTAAGGTGGATGCTAATGATTTCCCATTGTAACTCTCACAAAACTGCTTGTTTGATAAGAAGAAGAAGCAAGAATATTGCCGGGGCGGAGGTCTCTGGTGAAGCTTTCCCAGGCATTTTTCTGCTAAAGCTTTGGTTAACTTTCTCAAAACATTCTCATAACAAGTAGATACTATCATTTTTTGACCTTTCAGGAAGTCAACAAAACCTGTCAGCTTTTGCTTTGATGGACGACTCACACCTCTGGTAGACATTGCTTTGTCCTTTGTCTTCAGGATCATACTGGTAAAGACAAGTTTCATCTTTCATTACAATGTTTCAAAAAAGTGCTTCAAGATTTTTATCCTACTTGCTTAAAATTTCCATTTTGGAAGATTTGCTCTTATCTGCAGCTGATCCAACTCAACAGTTTTGGCACCCATTGAGTGGAAATCTTGCTCAACTTTAATTCTTCAGTCAGAATTATGTATGCTGAACCAGCTGAGATGTCTGTGGTGCTGGCTATTGTTTATGCTATTAATCACCAGTACTTTTCGATTAGAGCACAAACAAGACAAATTTTTTCCTACCAAACTGATGTGGATGGTCTGCTGCTGCAGGCTTCATCCTCAACATTATCTCATCTTCCTAAAACAAGTTATCCATTTGTAAACTGCTGATTTCTTTGGGAGCACTATCTCTATAAACTTTTCGTAAAGCATCAATGATTTCACCATTTTTCCACCCAAGCGTCATCATAAATTTGATGTTTGTTCTTGCTAACATTTTAGCAGAATTCATGTTGATGTGATAGGGGCTCTTCTAAAACTGGGTATCTTATTCTTAAAACATGCCTCAAATTAGATCCTGTTAAGACACGTTATGACAAGTTAGTAGTTTATTTTATTGGGGAAAAAAGTCTGAAATCCATGTAGTTTTCTCATAATACACATTTTTCATGAACTTTTTGAAGATCCCCTTGAACTAGAGACCAGCTAGGAAGCCACTGCAATTGTCTAGATATAAGGTAACAAAAAGTCTGACCTAGGCTAATGGCAAGATTTTAAAAAAATAGGTAAAGGCTGTCTGTTCTCAGAAGCACACTGCCCTAAAATAACCTTTTGTCAACAGAAAAAGAGAAAGACCTCCCCACAAATCAGTATTTTCTGAAGAATTCCCCAGTACTTTTTCAATTGACTTGACATCATTTTTGGCAGTCTGTTCACAGTGTAAGCTGTCAATCATTCTAAAATCTGGCAGCAACTCTGGTCTTTTGTAACAAACCTGAAAAAAGGGCGATGCAGCAATAGCTTGAAGACAAAAGGAGAAGAGATCTGTAAGAGAATTAACCAGTTATTTCTTGGAAAGACACACCAGAGAAACAGCATAATGTTCCTGAAAATTTGAGGATGTACCTGATAAGGCAAATTTGCCACACAAGTATCAAAGAATGGCAAATCTGTTTTCAACACATCACCCACCAATACTTGAAGTTTGCTGGCAAGAGGCCTGATAAAAAAAGAAGAAATGTAAAAAGAATGTTGTTTTATAAGATTGAATGCATTTTAATTCTATTATGTATACTCACGTGCCCTGAACTCTTTTGTGAAGTTCAGCTACTAGCCTTGGGTCCAGTTCACAGGCAACTACCTAAATTTTTTAAAAAAAGATTATTTAGGCTAATTATGGAGTATAAATTCTTGTTATCTCAATAGTAACTCTTACATGATTTAAACTTCTTTTCCCAATTCTACCATCAAAATGCCTTCAATTGTTCTCTCCCACTTCAAACAACAAAAACACCATCCACAAAAATTGAAAACCAGATCTACTAAAATCTAGAATACATATATAACTTCCCAGATGTGGTGCTGTGCAGCATAGATAATTTCTCAAATAAAAACAGATACCGAATAAGGGTGAAACAAGGCTGAAATTGTCATTTTATTGCAGTTTCAGCTGAAGTTTCACTGATTTCTAAGAAGGCTATGTCTATAAGGAAGATTAATGTGCTTATTTTGTTTGGTTCCCAGATCCATTCTCTACCTTTCTCTGTGCCCTGCAAGTAATGCGATCCAGCTCCTATACCCTTTGACTTTTGGTTGGGGTTAGCCAGTGAAATAGGATGTAAGGGAAGGGGTTAGGTATTTATTCCTAATGCCTGCCTCATGCCTTGCAGAGATTTTGGCAGTGGCTGTGTTCTGCTATATGTCTTCCTTCTTCAATGGCTTCCACTCTCACTAGAATCTGGTAACACAATTCCCGCCCTTTTCCTCTGAGACCTTTGGATGGTAACTGCTTCCTACTATGGTTAGTCCCTAATGCACTAATGCTCACTGGTTCCCTTAACCCCATTCCCACATCTGTAAATAGTATCTTCATTAAACTCTACTCAAATAAACTCTTTAAAATGTGTTGCCAAGCCGGGTTCGGTGGCTCAGCCCGTAATCCCGCACCTTTGGGAGGCTGAGGTGAGTGGATTGCCTGAACCCACGGGTTCAAGACCTGCCTGGGCAACTTGGCGAGACCGCATCGCTACAATAAATCAAAAAAAATCAGCCGGGCGAGGTAGCACACACCTGTAGTTCCAGCTACTTGGAAGGCTGAGGCGGAAGGATCCCAGCAGGTCAAGGCTGCAGTGGCCGGGAGTGGCCACTGCACTCCAGTCTGGGCGACAGAGTGAGACTCCAATTCAAAAAAAAAATGTGCTGCCTGTGTCCAGGTACACAACAATGGTTCCATTTAATTGGAAGCTGGCTCAGCGAAGGCACAAAGAAGATACCAGCAGCAGCCAGATAATCTCAGAGGACTGAGCTCTAGCTTGGTAGGTCTCCTTCAAAGTTTTGAGATCTAATAACTCCAGCCCCTTTGCTCTGTTCCCCCAGGCCAAGAGGTTATAACTGCTCTTTGCAATTATTATTTTGGGGTTATTTCAGTGTTCTCATTTTGTTCTTTGAGTCCTCTAACAAACATGTAACCACGCCCCTATGTTAAATTCCCTGCTGAAATACCTAATGTGGTCACTGTTTTCCTAAATTAAATATCTCATATTTTTTGAGGTCAAATTTCTAGTACAGAACCGGAAATTACTCTGAAAATAATAGCAATTAGTAGTATTTTTTTAACCCTACCTCGCAGTGGCCACATCCCTGATGCCAGTAATAGCAATTAATTAAAACATTTATATTTGTAAACCAGCTGAGTTGGCTCCAATAGTCATTTCTGATCCTAAAACATTAAACTGCATTTTTACCTTTTTTGCCTTTTCTAACAATTTTACAGTCATATTGCCAGTTCCAGGTCCAACTTCCAGCACCACATCAGTTGGTCTTAAGGCAGCCTAAAACCAAGCACAACCACTTTTACTCTTCTGGTACATATGAACACAGAACTTCATTTACACCTGAACATCTTTGCTAGAAGTGCTCCGTTAAGAGAACTTACTCAATTTTTAGGAGAGTCTTTTATGATACATGTGATCAACAGTATTACCTCAATAACATCAGGTGCAAATGAAAACTAAGACCTCTCCTAACTTGAGGGAATACTTCTCAATGTTATAGAGTCACAAAAGCAGGAAAAGCAGTTCTTTCTGGGATTGGCATTCTGCTTTATGTCTTGAAAATGATTTCAATAGCCTCTTGTCACCAATTCTGTTCATATCAACAAGTTCAAATAGGAAAGGAACGCATGTGTTGGACCAGAATTTTAAATTCTCACCCCATGTATGTTTTCAGGAATGGAGAGGCACAAGAAATTGTATACAAATTGGCTATATGCACAAAATTGTAATTTTCTAGGTCCATAGCTTTCATCAAATGCTTAAAGGAAATCAGCAGCTAAAAAGGTATGCCAACCCTCATTTTGCAAATGACACTAAGTCAGATAAGATCCTTTAATTATGTAATGCTCTTTCTACAGCTCCGGGATGCTTTCCTTGCTTGTAACCATGAAAGTAATTTGCACCATTTTTATCTCACCTCCTAGCATCCAATCATCCATAAGAATAAGAGAGCATCAATAAACCAATTAGGAGGAATACTCCTAATTTGTATGTGGTACTATGTGTTTTTTCTGGGAGCAAACTTCCTAATGTGTGGTTTGGATATACCTTCTAAACTCGAGTACATAAAAACCAAAACTGGTATGGAGCCCAGAAACGGTGATTAAAGCATCATAATAATCAGGAATTGAACAAGACAAAGAACCTGCTATGAAGCAGATAATCCACAAAAAGACGCCGAACTTGGAGCCAGGAGAAACCCAGACCCATTGAGAGAAAGTTGCCACGCAGAAAACAGCGTGTGGATCCAGGACAATACTTCATTCAACAAATATTTACAGATGCTAAGTAAACTCTCTCTGTACTTACATACGCATAAGAATATTAATATGCCAACAACTCTCTCCCTTTCCTCCTCCACACCCACCTTCTCGATAATGCTGTTAACAACGAGGGGATTTTTCAAAATGTGCTGCCCAATTCCCGTGTTGAACGTAAGTCCTGGAAGAAAACACGGAACATCCTTAGTATCCCTACTAAGGTCAGACATTAGACCGTCCCAGAGAAGAAAGAAAGATGGGTAGGGGGAAGATTTCTGCGCCAACGAGGGCCACCCAACGTCACACCCAGGCCGGGACTGACAAACTGCCGGAAGTCCATCCCTTCGTCTGGAAAGGAAACCAGAGTCGTCGCACCCCCCGACTTCAGTGCCCACCACAGCGGGTCCCGACCGGCCCTCAGCAGCGGCTCAGAGTTGGTTCCGCCGTAAGACCGGCCGCGGAACAGCTCCCTCCCGGGGTCCGCACCTCCAGCGCTTTTCAGCCCCCGACGCTGCTCCTGCCGCTCGCGGCGACGGCCGGCCGCCCCCGACTTGACCTTTGGCATCTCTGCAGGAAGCGGGCCCACAGGCCCGGGCAGTCAAGGTGGGACCAAAGAGGTCCAGCTGGAGAAATCCACCACGTGGGAATCGCCGTCCTGCACCGCGTTCACCACTACCGGCCACGTGGGGGAGGGGCAAGGGTCCGCCCCCTTCCCGTACCCTCCGAGTTCCTCCCACAGGAAGACGACGGACTTTGGAGCCCAGGGGCTGCCGGGAATTGTAGTCATCGGAGGGAGGCAAGCTGACCTCGGGAGCCTACGAATCCCAGAAGACACTGCGCTACCGAGTCGGGCCGTCTGGATTGGCTAGTTTAGATTCGGGGCGGGGCCTCTCGCGCTGGTCTGCTTGCGGCTGGTTAAGGTGTGGGTGCACCATGCCTCTGGGCCTTGTGAACGCTCTTTTTGGGTTACGTAATGAGATGAAGCCTGTGAATGCTTTGGGAGGCTTGGTTCTGGGATCGCTGAAGTCCAAAACAGGATACCTGTGCTTCGCTTCTGCTTCCCAGCAGATCGTGCGGTGAGAAACAGGATTTGGGGACGAAGAGCTTGCTCCTTCGGAGGAATGCTTTTCTCCGCTGCTTGCTTTGGGGAAACGAGCTCCAAGAATGGGATTAGTTCCTCGTTCCCCTGGGGCTTCTGGTTATTCATTTCCTTTTGTGCCTTGTCGTTCATTCCCTAAACATTCATTGAGCTCCAGCTGTGTATTGGACACTGCCGGGGATTCAAAGTTAAATAAAAAACTGTCCTCAAAGTGTCTTCTGTTGAGAGCGATCTACAGCAAGTCCGCAACTGGAAATCATGATAATGAGTATATGTTGAGTGTTGTGTTAGGACAACGTACCCGGCTGTAGGCTCCGTGAGTATAAGGCCGACGTCTGTTTTGTCTGCCAGCTAGTGCCTCTCAGTTTTTAATTTTTCTGTGTGTTCACTATTCCGCTGAAGAAACAACTTCTCCCTGCCACTATCAAAGTTAACTCTTTTCTGAGTGTGTGTATACTTAAACCGTGGGCTTATGCCCTTCTTTCTTTGCTGTAATTCGAACTGAGACAAAAATCTCCAATGATCTAGTAACATCTTCAACTACTCCATTAATCATTAGTGTATTCCACAGTTCTCAAGCGTCTACAATGTGCTAAGCACTGTGTCAAATGTTAAGAATAGGATGAACATAAAATGGAACCAGTTTTTTAAAAACTTCATGGAGAGAGAGGAAAGGGGTGGGAGAGGCAGGCAAATAATTACAAAAATAGCTACCAATATATATATATATATATATATAGCTGCCATTTGCTGAGCAACTATGTACCAGTTACTTTATAGGTACATTATCTCACTTAACCTTTTCAAACAGTTCTCTGAGGTAGGTCTTACCATTATGTCATTCATAAAAATGTTTAATACCTTTCTTAAATCATACAGTAAATAGATACATCTTGAAACTAGGTCTGTGTTTCAAAGACTGCTTAAAAGGAAATATGATTATAGCACTGTAGTTGGCATTTGAGGAGATTGGAGTCCATTTTTTAAATATTATATTTGAGCTGAATCTTTAAACGACAAAAAGCTAACTAGGGGAAGATTGAGAATGCAGAGGGAACAGTACTCTCAAAGACAAAATTTAAAAATGTTTAAGGAAGAAAAAAAAACTTTAACAACTGAAGAGTAAATAGATAAGGTAATTAGGAACTTAATTTGAAAGGTCGAAAATGTTATGCTAAGGAGCACTGGTGGTCATTGCAGACTCACAATAACATTTTGCCCTCTCCTCTCTCCAGGCTATGATTACACCGCAGTACAGATTGGAGACATTCATGGGCTCCATATATGTCTAGGTTCCAAACTCTGCCAGCCAGCTCTTAAATTCTCTCTAATCTTTCTCTTCCATTATTTACAAAGGGTCTTTAAACCTTCTAATTCTCAGGCCTCCGTCTTACCACTCCATAGCTCCTTCTCAGGAGAAAACCTTGCCTTTCATTTCACAGAAGAAATGCAACTGAGAAGGCATTCTCATCTTTCTGGGTGACTGTTCTAGACATTTCCACACACAAGCAAAACAAAATGAAGCTTATATACGGGTGGGGGAAAACAGACATTATGTCAGGTAGTGATTAAGTCTGAAGAAAAAAAGTAAAGCGGAGGAAATAGAGATCATTCGGGTAGGGGACTATTCTATGTGGCTTATTCTGAGAAGGTTGCTCTGATAGGGATGATTTGACCAAAGACCTGAGTGCACAAACTTGGAAATAGCTCACGTCACTTCTGTTCACACTAGCAATTTTTGCTACAGGAATGAACTGAACTGTCTCCATAGCCTGGAGACATGCGTGAGGAAAGCGTGGAAAAATTGTGAATGGAAGGATGGTGGTATAATAAGAAGAATGAGGACTTCAATTTTTATTAAAGAAATTCACATGGACAAGCCAGGGAAAGCTTGGAATTTGAGGGTGGGAAAATATTTCTACTAGTTGAGAGGTGGGGGGGAGAAGTGGTTTCACATTCAGTTAAAATAAATCTGTGCCTTGACAGAGTCACTCTTCATAGCCAAGGGTACTGCAAAAAGTAAGTCAACCTCTGTTTAGAGGATAGATAAGGTAGACAACAAGGATGGAAACAAAATAAGTTGTTCTAGGAGTGAACAGCAAAATCTGGAAATGTGAGGCCTGGAAAAGGCCACACATTTTAAGCCATATAAAATTAAATGAGTGTACATTTAACTTATCTAGAGGCCAAATTGATATTTATCTAGGAATGAACCCAATTCACCAGCATCAAAACACTAGGGCACATGTTATGGGCTGAACTGGGTCCCCTCAAAGTTCCTATGTTGAAGCCCTAACCACTAGTACCTCAGAATGTGGCTATGTTTAGAGACAGGGCCTTTAAAGAGGTGACTAAGTTAAAATGAGGCCATTAGGGGAGGCCCTAATCCAACCTGACTATTGTCCTTATAAGAAGAAATTTGGACACACAAAGGTACATCAAGGATGCACACCCACCAAGAAATCCCATGGGAGGACATACTGAGAAGGCAGCCATCTGCAAATCAAGAAGAGAGAGGCTGCCGGATAGCCCAAACCCGTTAACACCTTAATGTACTTCCAACCTCCAGAACTGTGAGGAAAGAAATTTCTGTTGTTTAAGCCACCTAGTCTATGGTATTTTGTCATGGCAGCCCTAGGAAACTAATACAAGCACATAATGAAAATTCAGATTGCCAAGCCTGCCCTAAACATTCTGGATCAGAATCTTTAGGACAGGGCTCTGGCAGATGCATTTTTAACAAGTTCTCTAGGAGATTCTGACACACACTGAAGGTAGGAATGTACTATTAAATAAGTGAAGGACATGCCGCCCCAAAACATATCGACTGGCATATTGATTATTTCACTTGAGAAACAGTAGCTGTAGAAGGCGTTATCTGACATGCCCTTTCCTACCTGTATCAAGCCATAAAAATTCCTTTGAGAAAGACTGACTTTCCTGTGCTATCATCATGAGAAAACCACCTTCACCGGAGACTGGGAACTGGTGCTGTGATAGATCTATGCAAAAAAAACTATAACCCTTTTCTGCCACTAACTTTATACTCTGCATATATCTCCTAGTGACTCTGCATATGACTCCTAGAGCCCAGACCCTGTTGTCTTGTCATTTCTTCATAAATCTGTCGTGTCTTTGTCTAAAAGGTATAAAAGCTTTCTGCTTTAGCCATTTGACTGGGGTGGTCTTTACTGTCTTGTGAAGGTCTTCATGTACATGTAAAAATCAATAAAACTTAGATGCATTTCTCCTGTTACTCTGCCTTATGTCAATTTGATTCTTAACCAAAGACTCCAAGTAAGTAGAGGAAAACTTCCAAAATGAAATAGCTGGTTGAGTAATTTCTATAGAAATGAAAGCAGATGGGGATGGAGGGTGATCGTGATAAGTATAGGCAAATTGTTGTAGTAAAATGTTAGGATATCTTATTTTATTTATTTGTTTGTTTGTTTCCTTATTTAGACAGGGGTCTTGCTATGTTCCCCAGGCTGGTCTCAAGCTTCTGGGTTCCAATGATCCTTCCACCTCAGTCTCCCAAAGTTCTGAGATTATGGGCATGAGTCATCATACCCATCTGAGGAGCTCTTATTATTCTGGCCAAATTTCATCTATTTTTTTGTTAGTATCAAGGCAACATTCCAGAAATGAAATAACACTGGGTGTGGCATGGATCCGTGAATCCTAGGAATTATGGTGATGTTGGATATGATACACATTTAAAAAAACATTGGAATATTATGTAGCCATAAAGGACAGAATTATGAACTTCACAGCAACTTGAATGGACTTACAGTCTATAATACTGCGTGATCTAGCAGAAACAAAGAACTGAGTACCACATGTTCTCACTCATAAGTGGACCCTGAACATTTATCATAACACTATAAGAAAGGGATTGGCAGGGTGGGGGAGAGGAGAACACCTCATAAACAAGGGTACCTGCATAATGACCATTTGTATACCTGACCCTGAATTGTACTCCACATTTTAAAAATAAAGAAGAAAAATAAAGAAGAAAATTTAAATAAATAAAAATTTTAAAAAGCACTGGAATTTATGTTGGAATATATGTTGTCTTCAAAGCCATAATTAGCTTTGTAATTATAAAAAATAATTTTATGCTTTTCTGGTTCACATTAACTAAAAATTATTTTTCAATTTGAGTGCACAAGATTTACTCATTGCCGTTCTTATAGTTTTTTTGTTGTTAATAAAATATATTGTAGGCTGGGCACGGTGGCTCAGCCTGTTGCCCAGCCTGTAATACCAGCACTTTGGGAGGCCGAAGTGAGAGGATTGCCTGAGCCCGGGGATTCAAGACCAGACTGGGCAACTTGGTGAGACCTCATCTCTACAATAAATCACAAAAATCTAGCCGGGTGTTGTGGTGTGCATCTGTAGTTCCAGCTACTTGGAAGGCTGCTGCAGGAGGATCTCTAAGCCCAGCAGGTCAAGGCTGCAGTGGCTGTGAGCGTGCCACTGCACTTTAGCCTGGGCAGCAAAAGTGAGACTCCAACTCAAAAATAAAAAAAATTAAATTAAATGTAACTTGAAAAATAATTATAATAGCATACGCTTTGGTAGAAGAGGCTTATTTAAACTCACAGCATGCTTGATATGATAACATTTTAGACTTGTCAGTGACTGGGCATAGTG